TCATGTCAAAATTTGGTCAATCGTTTACAAGTAATAATAGTACTCTCGTCAAAATAGCTAACCCTAAGACACCGAAATTACTATGCAATTACAATACACTGATTATATAACCTATTGTGTTATGTTTGGTTGGATAAGCATGTTGCACGAATCATATTTGTGTCAAGAAAATTAAAAAAAATGCTGCAATATTTAAAATTTTGTATTAAATGGATTCACAAAATATATTGAGATCACAAACAAATGTTAAACAGGTGTCACGAACGATAAACTTGTCAATTGAGAGATAGTGTCAAACTCAAATATGAAATGTTTAATAAACAAGTCAATACCCGAATATGATATAATGATCACTAATCATGGAGAAAATCTTAATGTTACATATTTGAGTTCAAGTTTGCATTCATTTGTCTTGTCAAAAACCACTAACCCTAATCAATAGGCATTATTACCTTTCTACTGCTAGGAAACCCATTCGATGCATGAAATATGATAAACAGAAAAATCGATTTAACAGTGTGGAAATTTTAGCTCCCAATTTGTAAAATAATTCTAAATCTCTTAGAAGTTCAGGATTCAAAACAAAATCAAATACTATAACTATGAATAAAAACTAATACAAATACACATAATCAGGGAAAAATTAGTTGATAATCTTTATAATCATAAAATTAAAAAAAAAAATTATTGTTGGAATATGTTATAAAATGCACTGAAAATCAATTTATTAGAAAGATTTAGTCTGAAAGTAGTTAACAAAGCAAAGACTTAGTTTGTGAGATAGAGAACTAGGAGACCAAAGAACTCGATATTGAAATAACATTAAAACATTCCCAACTAAAGGGCACATATAATCTTTGTATTTCACATTAGCTTTAATGAAGGAAAAAAGAAAAAGAAAATTTAAGAATAAAATTTGTTCGCAATTAGGGGTGTGTGCGTGTATGTCTGAGTCTCTATGTGTGTTAGAGAGAGAGAGAGAGATTTGTCTCCAATAGAACGGATTCTTAAAATATGAAAAGTAATGATGTTTTGAAGGAATTTGAAAGTTTAATTTTTTTCTCTACTGATTTTGTTAATCATTTTCCAAACATTACATCTCTACAATTTTAATTGCCAGTCAAAAAATGTTAGATGATCTTGTAGTCATGAATAATCAAAAATATACTATAATTCACTTATAACACAAATTTTAAAAATAATGTCATGAACTGGTAAAGAATGACACTTGTATCTTTACTATTAAGAAATATCCTAAATACTTGACAATTAGATTCTCGTATTGAAGGTCACAAACCCACAACATATATACAAACACATACATAAATACATAGATGTGTGTGATTTTGTGTGTGTGTGTATACAAACACATACATAAATGCATAGATGCATGAAAGTTCAATGTTTAAGATGAAGCAACCTAGAATAGCAAAGGTTAGGGTACTAGATGAAGCAAGGTATTTTATATATTTTATGAAAGCACTAACTGGATGGTCAAGAAAATTAAGATAATCTGTTTTTTGATATTGGCTTCATTTTGCAAGTTCGATCAGCATTTTTTGTTCTTGATACCTAGACAAGTATGTTAACACCAAGAACGTAGTATATGTTATGCATTCTATGTGCTTCTAACTTTAGAGCAATTATTTTGTGAAAATAATTTTTAAAGGTTCTACTTTCCTATTCTTATATGATTACGCAGATCCTCAGTAATGGTATGTACAAAAGCATCGAGCACAGGGTTCTGGTGAATGCAGCGAAAGAAAGGATCTCCATTGCTATGTTTTTCAACCCTAAATTTGAAGCTGAGATTGGACCAGCAAACATTCTTATAAACCCACAGAACCCTCCATTATTCAAAAAGATTACAATGGAGAACTACTTTAAAGACTTCCTCTCTCATAAGCTCGATGGGAAGTCATATCTGGAGCAAATGAAGCTGAAAAATTCAAAAAGTCACACCATTTGAAGTTCATTGGTGATCTCAAAAAAAAAATGATATATTATATTATGGTTTTGGGTTAAATCTAGTCGTATGATGCAATTTGATATGTTGATCTCGCTGTTGCCATTACATTGGGTTATATCTAGTCGTATGATGCCATCGAAGGATAATGGATTAGCCTAGAAAATTGGTCAGGGCGATATAATGCAAGTAGTATTGTATAAATAGTGTGTTTTGTACCGTGTTCATTGTTGCTCTAGTTATTGATGGTGGAAGAAAATACTATTCTGCCACCTGCTTGTATTGATTGTACCATTGGAAGGCCCTCTTTTGTGTATAATAGCCTAAAAAATAAATGAGGGTATTATTGTGTATGTATAAATTTTGTGTATGAGAGGCCAGTTTTATGTAACAAATGCTTCTCTTTGGACTTATGCAGTTATGTGTACGGTTAAGAAGGTGATGGATCGATCACAAGTACTTTATTATTCGAAATTTTATGTTAAGAGTTCGAGTTTTGGTATTCGACCATCCATAATTAATGGTGGTATTACCTCTCCCAAATCTGATTAAATGTTGGGTCGTGTGTATTGGGTACAACGTTTGATGTATTCATGTCTAAGACATGTAAATTGGGTAAATTATATCCAAAATAGATTAACAAGGGTAGATTATAATCATTATTATGATCTATGCATTTTTTCAGACTCATCATTGTAACATTCACATTCAATATATGCAATCATTTGGGAATCATGCACTTCAATATTACCAGCAATTTATGAAACAAATAAAACTCAAAATCATGATCAAGACATGTAACTACACATCTTAACTTTTATTCAACAACTGAACAAACTGATGCGGGTCACCTACCACATGTTACTTTCGATTATAGGTTTCTCTATTTGAACCAAATAGGGGACCTTCATTATAACGACCTATATTTTTTCTTTTTTGAACAAAAACAAAGTGATGATTTTATTGATTTGAATTTATATTGCATCCTAATTTAAGGACTTAGAAGGACTCAAGGATGTTCTTGTCAGAGTTTTTGTGGGTGATAATCGAGTTGAACCCAACGAGCTTGATTATTCTCAGGTTCGGCTCGAATATTTTGGAAGTTAGTCAGATTCGAAGCTTTATTTTAAGGTCAAGCTCACTCACTTATGTCAAGCTCGGCTATTTTATGCTTGATTTTTCAAACAAGCTTGAATTCGAGCTCAGACTCATTTTACTATTAATGCTAAACACAAAATTCACCATTCTACCATATCAATTATCAAACCAAAATAAAATAAATAAATAAAGCTAATTACCATTCCACTAAAATAAACCAAAAAATTAAATTCACAACATAACTTGTTCTAGTTGATGGACAACCAAAAATTAAATTCACTCTCTCTCTCTGGGGTTGTCTGGATAACTTGTTCTAGTTGATGGACTGCAGCCTTGTTTTGCTACAAGTTTTTGATGTTGTTAGATTAGAGTATCTCAAGGCCTATGTACTTCATAAAGATTTTACTGATACATTTTGGTTTATTTAGCCAAAAAAAAGAAGTATCTCATTTATGACCACTAAGAACATCATGTTGAGTGGTAAGGAATAAAAGTCTACCATGTTCAGTCAAGTTGAGTCGAGCACATATGTGACGAAGAGCATTGAATTTACAGGGTGTGACAATTGATACAAATGTCTTTTACGAAAGCCTTAAATCACCAGACTTCAGAGTGGAATATGAAAAGCTGGCCATCCAAACTAAACCAGCTGTGGTGGTTGTCTAGAACATGTTATTAAAATTGACTCAAGACCATTCGACAGAGACAAACAAAAACGATAGGATGAAATGAACTTCACCATCCATTCAGTTAGCGTTCTATTTCTTCAACTGTACATCATTGATAACCAACCCATTAATGGAGAAGACTACGGCATGTCTGCATTTTACAAGTTCAATAGGATTTAATATAAGTTTTTAGGTCTGTTTAAAAAAAATTAACAACTTTTAAGGTTTAATTCATAAAAATAAAATGAAAAAGTTTTGAGTGATAACTTTTTTTTTTAAAGTTACCATAGAAATTACAAACGACCCTCTTGTAAAAAAATTATGAAATTTATAGAGACGGTGTAATACCGAAATTCAAAGTTTTCTCCTATGATAATTACTTAATTAGCCTCACAATTAGGTTGTCTCAATCAGAAACGTGTTTGCCATAAAATGTACTGACACGTGCCTTGATTGTCATATAATAGAGATATTTTTTCCCTAAGTTTACATAGAGACAGATGCCCCCACGTCAACTGTACCACAAATTTTAGGGAGGATTACGCCTAAATTGTATGAAATTTGTCGCTTAATCATTCATATTTCTTGATATTTAAAATATTATACACAGACCTCTTAAAATTTATACTTGTAAACTCCTGCTATACATATATCTGTTAATAAATTACATCTAAACTCCCTCAAGTTTGTAGGGGTATAATACTTAAATCCCTTAAGTTTAAAATATTATACTTAGACAAAAATACTTCAATGAAAGATAAAATATTAAATATTTTAAATTTTACAACTAAAATTCATATTTTATTATATCATTTATTGAAATAAAATCAAAAATAAAAATTTTATTTATTCTTAAAAAATCGTAATTAATATACAATTATATTATCCATTGGAATAAAATTAAAATATCAAATAAGGGGTTTAAGTAGTTAATAATAGAACATGAATTTTACAACTAAAATTCATGTTCTACTATTTTATTTATTGAAATAAAATCAAAAATAAAAATTTAGTTTTTTTTAAAAAATCGTAGTTAGTATACAAATTATACTATCTATTAGAATAAAATTAAAAAATTAAATGAGGGGTCAAACTGTAATAGACACAATATATTTTAGCTTTAATTGGGATAGTTTGGTATTTTAATTTGGTCGTTTAAACAACCAAATTAAATTTCAATAGATAAAATAATTGTATACTAATTACGATTTTTTAAGAAAAAATTAAAATTTTATTTTTGATTTTATTTTAATAAATGGTACAATTGGACATGAATTTTAATTATAAAATTTAAAATATTTGATATTCTATATTTGATTGAAATATTTTTTGTCTAAACATAATATTTTAAACTTAAGGGATTTAAATAATAAATGTTTACAAACTTCAGGGGTCTAGGTCTAATTTATTAACGAATAGATTTACGGTAAAAGCCTAAGTGTTATACGCGTCCAAACTTTAGATTATTTGTGTGTAACATTTCAAATGTTAAGGGACCTAAGTAATTAATTGACAAATCTCGGGGGTCAAGATGTAATTCTCCTAAAATTTTATCAAAAAGTGATTTATCAAATGAGTTGGCAACTTTATATCCGATCAAAAATATTTTGATCAGCATTTGATGGGTTCAAGAGTGATCTTAAACTGACAACTCATTTAATAAAAATTTTGATATGAATAACATTTCTGGTGCCACGAATGTCTATATCATAACACAGAACTTGCAGTAGTAAAAAAATGGTCCAAATTATTTATATTCAATAATGCATTTTATAATTTTTTGTAAATTTTTTAATCATAGTAAATTTATTTATTTATATTTTAAATAATTTTTTAATCACAATAAATTTATTTATTTTTATTTTACCCACAATAAATCCGTTTGCATATTATTTCAAATATCTATTCTAATCTTGTCGTACATTGCACGGGTAACGTTAGTATACGTATGTAGTAGAGAGAGAAATCAAAGAGTAAATAAAATGAAAAAAAAAAAAATTTAATGGTTTGTTCGAGTGGTAACAAATATGAGCTGTAAATTTAAATGTTCTAAGTTCGAATCTTGGCACTTATAAGATATTTATCTCTCATAAATTCTCTAATTCCGGCATAAATGACTTGCATTTGATGAGACAAAAAAATAAATAAATCGACGTGCAAATAAATTAACCTTAACACACATGACTATTGAAAAAAAAAAAGAGTATAAGTCTAATAAATTCTAGGAATGCAACTCTAGTGTGTCAGACTAGTTAAGAAGTAAATTCGAGCGCAACTCGAGATATAAAACTATTAACCTGAGTATTGTTCAAACTTGAGCTTCAACTAGACGCCTACGACCCGTTTGTTACTCGTGTTGAACTTGGGTTAAACTTGGTTGCCGGAGTAGCATCACAAAAAGAGAGAAGGGGGCAACACTCCACAAGCGAGGCTTTACCATCACAGCCAAAAACCAAAACCCAATTCAAACCACTAACATAAACTTTCTATAGATTTGGTTAGAGAGAGAGAGAGAGATGAAGTCTTTTCCTTATAGCATAGTGCACAAGGAGGAGGAAGGCGCCGGTCGAGGGTGTGCGGCGTCTCTCAGCTGCAATTCTCTTCAAATTCCTTCTAACAATATTATTAGGACTTAATTTGAAGATTTAGTACATTATGGCCTTTAAATTAGCACCAACTTCCAACATTTTATCAAGTCTACTATCAATCCAAATTGTCTTAATGTATATGTCCCCAAATTTATACTTTAAATTTGATCTCAATAGCATTATTGATATTCAAGTGGCGTAAAAAAAGGAGAAGCGTGCGGTGGATGAGTTGAATGAGCTCTCAGTGAGAAATGTTATGTGTATAAGGCAAAACGCGTAAAGAATGCACAAGAAAAAAAAGTGGTTCGCCAAATTGAAGAGCTGAGTTATTCTATCATAATAGAGATTCTTACTCCTTGTCTTATCTTTTACACATAATGATTATATAAATTTAACAGAATTTTAAAATATTTGGGAAAATATTTTACACTTAAAGGCTATTTCCTTAGATATAACATGACTTTCTAGAAACGGTCAACGTGGTCTTATAGAAATAAAGAATTCTTCAAAGTAGGCCTCGTTGATGAAAGTTCACTTTTACCCTTCAAGATTTCTAAGTTACTAATTGTCTTCTAAGCATTCTTGGCGGACCTGGATATTTTCAAGTCAAGTCGACATGTGGTGATCAAGATGGTCATCTTGGCCTGGA